GGTTTCTACTTTTACTTTTATACTTTAAGTAAATTTACAAGCCTGTACTTTGTTACTTTTACTTGAGTAAAGAAGTTTAACCAGTACTTCCACTTTTACCAGAGTATTTTTTAACACTAGTATCTGTACTTTTACTTTGCCATCTCTGATGGTCTGTGAGAGCTTTGCTTCCAGATTCAGGAACTCAACTGGGTTATGTAGCAGGACAATAGTTCTTAACAGCCTGTTTTAGTGGAGCTAAAAAGCTATTAAAGAAAAAGCTAAGGAAATATACATAAAGTGATATTTTCATAGAAAATGAACGTGGTTAAAATGGATTTTCTTCATATACTGGCTGTCATTGTGTTTTCCTCCTCTGTGTCTTACTGCTAGCCTCTATCCAGCGGCAGGCAAAGCGACTGCGAGGCCGTAATGTGCACTTTGAGAGCGTCACTGTGTACTATTTCACACGGCGACAGGGCTTCACCAGCGTTCCCACACAGGGTGGTAGCACCTTAGGGATGTCCCCACGCCACAGCGGCGTGAAGCGCTTCACCCTCAGAGAGTTCGCCATGGAGCAGAAACGGAGCCATCGGAACATGCTGAGGGATCACCTGAAAGAGGAGAAACTCAATGCCATCAAACTGAAAGTTAGAGGAGAAACTCAGCATATGATAAAACAAAAGGTTTGAATTTAAATTGATGTAACGCTCTCGTCGTTTCAGCTAACCAAGAACGGCACGGTGTCCTCCATGGAGGCTGAAACTTTGACTCTAGATGACATCTCAGAGGACGACCTAGATGTGGACAACACGGAGGTGGACGATTACTTCTTCCTCCAGCCTCTGACCACCAGGAGACGACGCGCGCTTCTCCGGGCCTCAGGGGTCCGCCGCATCGATGTGGAGGAGAAGCATGAGCTGCGGGCCCTGCGGATGTCTAGAGAGGAGTGTGGGTGTCGCTGCCGGGGGATCTGTGACCCGGAGACCTGTGCTTGCAGCCTGGCCGGCATTAAGTGCCAGGTAAATGGAAATGTGGTGAGACACATCTATAATACTCAAGTTTTGTAAATGTGCGTCTGTGTGAAGAAGCGTAGGGGATGAAACAGGAAAAAATTTAGAATCAGGAGGATTTGCAAAATGATTGAGTTGAAGTTGAATGAAAAAACAAACATATACAGAGAAAGAGTTTTAACTAAACCAAAATGCAACCTTGTGAATATTTAAAGAAAACAAAAACATTTAAGACAGATGGAACAGTAGATGATGGAACATTACACCAAGATCACAACATGAAATACTAGTTGGTATAAAATAGAAGGGTCTGTAACCATCGTGGTGTAAGGAGCCATTTTTCCTTTCAGTCCAGCTCATAAAACTCATTTAGAGCTGCAAACATTTCCAGACAGGTTTATTTTTAAAGAAAAATATAACTTATATTTAACAGATATTCATGACAGGTTTTTAAAAGTTTTGGAAAATCATATAATGAAAGATAAAACTACTCCGTCTTAAAAGGTTAAAAAAAAATCTAATTTCTGATATTATTAGGGTCATTTTATACGGAGCCCCTCTGATGACATGGTCAAAAAAAATTTTTAATTGTGGCACGAAATACTACTTCGTGGCCACGCAATAAGTATAACGTTAATAATATTAATATCATTCCTGGACAACTGGGTAAGAAAATCGAGGGCGCCTTCTCTAAGGTCTAAGGCGCGCTCGATTTGCTTACCCAGTTGTCCAGGAACGATATTAATATTATTAATAAGTATTTCGTCCGCACGAAATACTACTTCGTGGCCATAATTAAATTTTTTTTTTGACCATGTCATCAGAGGGGCTCCGTAATTTTATTTTTTGATTCGAAAAAAAAAAAAGCTCATAAAACTCGTTTCCAAACATCACATTCCCTTCTTTACAATAACAATATCTCAGACAGGAAATGCACCCTCTTTAACTAACTACAGCTCTGTTTCAAAATTTTAGATTAAAATAAAGGAAAGAATTGCAAAAAGATAAATATTAAAATAAATACATGGAAAATCATGAAAAAAAATTTACATTTCTCTCTCTTATAAAAGATCATAAAATATGTTTTAATTACAGACAGTGTTTTTTGAGAAATTTAATGCAATTAATCAGTTGAGAAAATGCTAAAATGTAAGCCGTTCCTCAATTCACAAGAGCACAAGTACAGACTCGTGTCCTCGCCAAGTATGTTCTCGAGAAGAACATTGGAAAATATGGACGCAGCGTAAATATGGGTCAATGAGAACAGAAGTGTAATCGTGACGACGCCACATGCTCGGCTCGTCTGGAGCTGCATTTCACCTCCTGTTATTAATAATCTTTAGATAATAATAAATTCTTACTTTTTTCATTTATTGGGGGAATAATAATAATGAACACAGTCAGATAAACACAAATCAAATTAACATTTTTCCAAATTAAACAAAAAACTTGCTATCAGAGCCAGCGGTCCTTTCCACACGACTATGGCGAGAGAGGGCTGCTGTATTAGCCCTGGCTGTCGTTAGCCTCGGAGAGCTGCTGGTTGCCGTTTTCCTCTCAACTTTGCTATTCTTTTTTTTTTTTTATTGTGCATTAAATCGTTAAATTGTGCCATATAGTGATGCTTAAAAGTAGAATATTCTCGCCTCCAATTATCTTAAAACGTACTTTTATTGAACAACAGGCACAGAAAATAGAACTTTTAACCTAATACTCTGAGCTCTGTTAGCGCTCATTTGAAAGCTGCTGCTGCCGCAGTGCATGCTGGGACAGTCTCAAGAACGGAAAAGTCTGCTCTGATACTCAAGGCCAATTTATGCTTCTGACGCATACCCTCTGCAACTTTTAAATCTGTCTCTGTGCGCGACCACGCCCCCCGCGCAGAGGTTCTGCAACCGTCGTCGTGCACCTCAAAAAAATCCTGACTACACATCGGACGGTCACAAACCCCCGCAGACCTCAAGAGGAAGTGCGCAGACAAAAAGCAGCTCTGATTGGTCCTTGGTATGCCTTTCCAGCTGTCTGTGTGGTCGTCCTTCTCGATTCGGCGCCGGGGCGCCTTTTTTAAAAACCGAGGAACAACTATGACAAAAGCTAATCAGCCTCTTAGCCAACTTTGTCCGTTTTCTGTCTGCGGTTCTGGTGAATTGGAACAGTACTGGGGCTGCAGCTGATGACGTTTCACAAGCACATGAGAACGCACAATTATGACACTTATTATGAAACGGCAATAATAGGCTAGCATAGCTATTGTTTAAGATTGCTATTGTTTCATTTTTAACTATAATGATGAAGAGCCACATGATGGAGACCCTAGGAATAGAATATACAACCAAGGTCCAATGGGGATTTTATCAGACAGCATGAGAGGAACCTAATGAAACACAAAGCTGGGAATAATAAGATGACAAAGGAAGTAATGGATTATGAGCTCGGTAAAGCTGGGAGGGAGGTATCTGAAAATCAGGAAAGAGCTGATAGAAGATACAGGGGAGAAGAAGCAGAATAGAAATAGCCAAATATATTTGTAGCAAAACACCAAAGTTTAAAAGATCTCAACAGAACCTTATCCTCAAAGGCAACTTGAAATCAAGATTAGCACACCTAGCTGCTCTCAGGTAAGGAGAAAGGAGATGCCAAAGGAAAGGAGATTAAGGACAGCCCTCCAGGACCACTTTGTTATTACTCTGGAACAAAAGACCAACCCACCCGGATCCTTTCTTCTGTGAAACGATTTTCCAAAGATTCCAGGGTTTGGAATCTTTGGAAAAAGATTGGTAGACGTAGGCGAACCCAGCTGGATCCTCTCATTGGAGAACTCAGGAGCAGGAAACAAAGGACGACTGGTGCTCTAAGGTTAAATATAGGCTGAGTCAGAGTAGAGGTGTAAGCCAGAAAAGACCAGAGAAAGAAAAGGAGACTGGTCAGAGAAAGACTGAAGGTGTTTTGCCATTTTTATTGGGGTTTCTGGAGCAGAGGCTGAGAGCCAAAATGCTTCAGGCAAAGGCCAACTTCAGTATCTTCAGTAGCTAATGGTAAGCTACCTGCTGTATCCAAAAACAGACACCAAGCTGTTATCGTCTCTCTGACTCTATGTTTATTTCTCTGACTGTGACTGGCTGGATGTGCTCTCTTCATCCTCTGTTATGGGAGTTGGCTCAAAGCTCGTCTTCCTGGCTGTGTGTTTCCTGGACGGGGCCGCCTTTTACAGCTGCTTTTTGCATCTCTGCTTCTGTCTCCTTGAACCCCAGATGGCCGCTCACACTTAGCCTGGTTCTGCTGGATGTTCCTTCCTGTTAAAAGGGAGTTTTTCCTCTCCACTGTCGCTACAAGCATGCTTAGTGTGAGGGATTGCATTTGAGTCAATGAGTCGATGCAATCAACTGGTTTTCCTTAGATAGAAAACTTTACATCAATTTGACTGGATGATCTGGTGAACTGTAAAGTGCCTTGAGATGACATGTGTTGAGAATTATAGAAATAAACTAAATTTAATTTCTTTGAGAGCTGATGAGAAAAACAACTCAAATACTATTAAATAATTCACATTCAAATTTTAAATGAGTCACAAGGTGACACGATAATCTAGAATGCTAATAATAACGTAGATATACGCTGCTATTTCTCATGCTGATACCAGACTAAGGTATTAAAATTGAGAAAATGATCTAAAACTCTTAAAAATCTTTAACATGGACATGCATCCATATTTCAGGTTTATCATAACATGATCCTATTTAAGTCCTTTTAAAACCAGAAGATAAATCAGGTGTGTAATAAAACAGAATTTAAATCACTCTAGATGTATATTGCATAAAAATATGCAAATATATATCTTTAAAGGCATTTCATTTGTTGTTGTTTTTTTGTTTTTTTTTGTAAAAATGAAATATATTTTGTGGAATTGATCAAAATTATTATTATATACATAATATATTAGAATTAAAACGTTTGGATTTTGACAATAATTGAAGGTGTAAATAGATTTTAGCTTAAATCCACAAGCTTTGGAAGCTTTCCTCTTTTTAAAAATTGGAAATTCATCATACTAGTATTTAATCAGTTGTTAAGGATAACAGAAATCGAAAAGAAGTATTTTTAAATGTATTTATAGGTAATTTGAAGGTTGAAAATTATTTATTTATGCCACAGCTTTTCCAATATAGCTGTCGATGTAATTAATATTCTAAGATCCAAAGTAGACTCTAAACTTTTTCCCCCGACTCGTGACCAGCTCTGCTGCTGCATAACTCAGATATTTGCCCCCAGGTGGACCGCATGTCCTTCCCCTGCGGCTGCACCAAGGACGGCTGCAGCAACAACGCCGGGCGGCTGGAGTTCAACCCGGTCCGCGTGCGCACCCATTTCCTGCACACCATCATGAAGCTGGAGCTGGAGAAAAGCCGAGAGGAGCAGTACCAGCATCAGCAGACCGAGCAGCAGCTTGTTACCAGTGGCAACGGTTACCATGGCGACACCCCCTTGATCCAGCAGCAGCAGCAGCAGCAGCAGCAAACCCCTCAGTCTCTAAAGATGAGCAATCCCATCATGCACCTCCAGAACACAGGTGAGGTTGATTTGCATCTGGACGAAGATGAGGAAGAGGATGAAGAGGAGGAGGAGGAGGAAGATGATGAAGAGGAGGACGAAGCTTACGATGACGGCAGCAGTGTTTGCAGCGGGCTGTCGGACTGCAGCACACACAGTCTGGAAACTCTAGACACAGAGGATGGAGATGAAGACGAGGAGGAGGATGAAGAGGACGAGGAGGAGGATGATGAAGATGAGGATGAGGAGGAAGACTGGGACTGTTCAATGCATGGACTGAGCTCCCCCTCATACTCTGTCCCCCTCCCCTCTGTCCTGAGTTATACCAACAGCTCACTGGTGAGCCTCAGTACCCCCTTTCACAGCACTCCCCCCATGCAGCACTATCAGACGGACGGCTCCATAAACCCCCCGCCTGCGTTCCTGGGGGATAACCTGAACGTTACACCCATGCTCCCCTCAGTCGAATCTGCTCTGGAGTCGGAAATCGGCAGCGAACTGCACCGGCAAACAGAGCAGCAGAGCCCCTTCTCTGAGCCCTGCTCACATGGAGACACGCGTGAGCACAGCGCTGCCCCCAGCGGCACTCCTGACCAGCAACCTCGCTCCACAGGCCTCCAGAAGAATCCAGGCTGTGACTCACAGGCAGGAGGAGAAGAGGAGCCTGGAGAGGAGCAAGCAGGGCAGGGGATGCAGGGAGACATCAGTCAGACAGCATCATCAGAGAATAACTGCTGAGCTGCTGTTAGGACATCTTTAGACATGAAATTGTGAAAATATATTCCTCCTTCTCAGCTTCTTTGTCACAAACACATGCTTTAAGATCAAACTAAGTCTTAATAACAATAACTGCAACTTGAGTAAATACAAAATACAGTTTTCAAATGAATTCATTCTAATAGGGAGGAAAAAAGGCCATCCTATGAGTCACACTTAAGCTGGGTTCCTATTGGACAAATTACTCCAAGAGCACATCAACAACCCAGAACGAAATTAATCACTGCAGCAGGGATGGAGAATATGGAAATGTTTTTACTAACTTTACGGTTACTTTTAGCAATAACGAGAAAAATGGCAATAAAGGGATTCGGAAAATTTGGAAGGTAAGGCATAAAATAAAATAAACGTACCCATTAGAAGAATGGATTTGTATTTACTCAGCTTACCTTTGTCTGTTATTTATATTTCCTGGATGATCTGAAACGTTCAAGTGCAACAAAAAACAGTTAAAAACATTAAGGTGGTAAATCACTGTAACTATAAACGTTTGCTCTATTGTTGAGAAGCAAACGTTGAAGGACTGTCACTTATTTTGACTCAGAAAGCTCTGCTTTTGATTAATTGAAAAAGTCGTGAGAAAACCTGTTTAAGACTCAATAACGAGATCCGGTCTGTTACTCTGAATCTGCGCTGACGGTTTTATAATTTCCAAATTCTGTTTTAAAGGTTTTAAAGGAACTGCCGCATGTTTATCTGCTTGTTTTGGCATCTGTGACAAATCAGAGCAGGATTTGGAGGTGCTTGTATTGTTTTGGTATTTTCCGTTGTGCTGCCCGTCGCTGCTAATGTTTCTGAAATGCTTCTCTGTACCGCATGAGTTCAGTTTACTAAAGGTGTTCCTCGGTGTGCTCATTCCGTTGCAGTTCAAACGCAAACCCATCTACTGCAAAGAGATGCATTAATCCTGTCAATAACTAAGCAGTGCTTTGCAAAACTATTCACACAGGCTGAACCTTTCATATTCTGTCACTTTATAACCACAAACTTCAATCTTTCCTGCCTCTGAGGAAAAGTACCCCACAGCATCATGCTGCCACCACCATGTTTCACAGTGTGAATACTTGCTTTATAGAGTGTTTGTTTTCAAGCTTTTTTTTTATAAACAAAAAACAATAAAAGTTACTTCTTTTTGGTCTTATTACATAAAAACACAGGTAAATACATCTAAGTTTGTGGTGTTATCATGACAAAATGTGTAAGAGTTCAAAGGTTATAAATACTTCTGAAAGGCTATATATCCTGAACCATATCATTAAAGTGTCCTGGTTGTTTTCCAATGATCCTCCTTGCTTTATTTTAGCTAATGGTCTTAAAATTTCAACATTTTGTTTCCTCAAGATCGGTTAAAAGTAGAGCCTCTTTCTTTTTAGTAATATTGCTAAATGTATTTTTATTAATATTTTTATCATTATACCTTTATTTTTACAGGTAAGTCATTAAGAATAAATTCTTATTCACAATGGCGGCCTGACAAGTGGAGTAACCACTTAGGAAAAGGGAAGCAGGGCTAAAATAAATAAAATACATTAGTTATACATAAAATACAAACACAAGAGCTAAAATAAATACAATATATTTTTAATACATACCTAAAATTAAAATTAAAAACACAACAGACAGCCCAAAAATCAGTAGCGAAGTAAAAATACTTCACTACTGTACTTAAGTATATTTTGGAGTACTTTATACTTTGCAAGAGTATACATTTTTTTGAGACCTTTCACTTTTACGGCACTACATTTACAACTTAATTGTATACTTTTACTCCGATACATTTTCAATGTTTCTAAGTAAAAAAAAAAAAAACACGAGCGAGAGAAACGCAAGTGTTTTGACCCCACCTACTGACACAACCTATTCTCATTATGAGTTCGTATGAAATCGTACGAAAAGTTATGCACCGTAATTTCGTACGTTTTGGACGTTTTTTTTCGTCGTATGCGCATGCACATCTGACGCACCATTCACAAATATAGAATATAAATTACTATTAGCCCTAACCCTGACCCTAACCCTAAGATACAGTATAAAACAGCAAGCAACGTAGTTAGAGACATGAATAAGTGATGATTTTACTGTCTTTCCCAGTTTTACGTCCGTCCGCGGATCTGCTTTTTTTTTCTGTCTGCCAGCGCATGCGCACTGATGTGGTTTTTTGAGGAAAAACGTCCAAAACGTACGAAATAGTGTGCATAACTTTTCGTACGATTTCATACGCACTGATAATGAGAATATTTTGACTGACAAAGTCGGGTCTCGCCTGGGCTTGTTCATCAACACCAATAGGATATGCCTTTTTCGCAAAGCCAGTCTACATTTATCCTACACTTGGTTGTTTATATTATTTTAAGTGAATTTAACCTTCAAAGTTTACCAAAATGTAAAAAAAGTCAATCAAACTGCACCTACTTTGTACTTATACTTTTCACTACATTACTGGAGTACATCTATTTTTACAGTAATTCTTATACTTAAGTACAAGCCATTTCAGATACTTTAAGACTTTTACTCAAGTAACATTTCAGTCAGTGACTTGGACTTTTACCAAAGTCATATTTTGGAGAGGTACTTATACTTTTACTTCACTCTGAGATTTCAGTACTTTATACAACACTGCCAAAAATGACTATGTAGAACCAGCTGCAAGTGTCTGTGAACATGGATGATATAATTGTTTTGAAGGATAGAAGTGAAATTAGTCTATCCAGTTTAAGAATATTTTGCAGAGCATTCCAGTCAGGAGCAGCAGCAGATTGAAACGGAGCAAGACCAAAAGCAGTGTTGGTTTTGGATATTGTTGTGCCGATGCCATTTTTTGGCCCCGATACCTGATACCTGGCTGTGCAGTATTGGCTGATACCGATACCATCTGTGAGTGTGTATATATGTAGAACTGCATAGTACTTGGATAAAATAATTGCCATCATGGCTTTGTCAAGCTGCTGCCTACCTTTGTGAAGCAGGAAAAAGACTACCAAGTGAATCCAGTAGAACTTTTATTGCCTACCTGGAATAGGCTAACCTGACTCTGCCAGATGGATTTGCTCCGCATATCCATCTGGAAACCTTCCGTTGAAGTCATTTTAGGAAGGGGCGAAAATACTGGTTAGCTGATTGGCCTATGTTGGTGATAGACGGGCCAAATAAACCAATCAGATCAACGAAGCATATGACGTAACAGCAACGACGAAGAGGAGCCAATTGATAGATCAAACTCTTGCCGAAACCAGTCGGGAGAAGAGCAAAAACATCTTTTCCTCTGAGAAAAGCCTCCAGAGCAGTGTTTTGCTCTTCTTTCAGTGAAGAAATACTCTGTAATTTCGATAAAACTTGCTCGATAGCCACGCTAACGCTAGTTTCATCGGCTGAAGCCGCCATGTTCTTTAGACTGAACTGTCGCGCTTCTCGTTGCGTCACACCTCAACCCGCCTCAAAGCCAACGCTGATTGGATGTTCGTTTGGTGAACGGCTCCAAATTTTCTTCAACGGAGAGTCTCCAGACTGATTAGCGAGTGAACTCTTGAAAGCTCGCGAGATCAGGATGGTCTCACGAGGCTAGGAATAGGTGACAATAGTTGAATAAACTTTTGGCTGTCACAATGGTATCGGTATCGCTGCAACACTAGTTTTGAAAGTGAGTTTTTGGCATTTAACTTCCTAATTTCATTTTTTGGGATCTTTTAAACCCCTTTTTCCCTTTCAGTACACTTTTATTAAAGTATTTTATGCTAATGATTCAAAATCTGTTGTAAGGAAATGTAGCACCTCTACCAGCAGCAGACAACAGAGGCTTTGGTCTTATAAGAGTCCTGTACGGATCCATTCAGAACCAGATAGGATAGATAGGCATCAAATCTATTTTATCATGAGAAATCTGTCTGTTTATGTGTGTAGCAGGTTGTTTGTACAGTAAATTCTACACAGTATCTGTTTCTGAGCATATTTATTAGGTTTCTAAATGCCTATAAATGTCGACTAATACACCATATGGTCAACTTGTGATGCTAATAGAAGTTAGTTTGGTGAACATTTAGCAAACTCACTGGTTTTCCAGCTTTTACCTGGGAACTTTTTGGTGTGAAGTTATTCTATGCATGAAAAATGGATCTATGGATTAATCAGATTGATTTTGATTAATTGATTACTTTAGTACTGGTCAAATAATTCATTAAACAAATGCTCCTTAACTGGAGTATGCATGTATGATCTAAAACATGCAATAAACTGAACCCCAGAGCAGCATTAAAGCCAGGAAAATAAAGTCAAGTTGCATTTTGGAATAAATTCCTTCATCTGTAAATAAACTCTGTCCAGAAATCCTAAAAGAGCATTTTAAAAATGGGATTTTTTTTTATTTCTCAGGCATTTACAAATGCAATGTTCAATAATTTGACTTTATTTTGTTATTTAAACAGCAGTTTGAAAAGACGTTTGTCTTAATTTACAGAGAATCTCCTTTTGGATTAATTGTAGAAAAATATTTCTACATAACCAATTTCTAGATTAAACAGGTGCAGCTGTAGGTTAAACCACAATTTACGACGATTAAATGGACCATAACTTCAACACCTTATGAGTGCTCGATGGACGGATTCTATAAGCAACTGCAGAGCTTATTTAAAATGGTTTAAGCAGCACTTCTACACAGCTTAAAAAGAACAAGAACAAAAAAAATCTAAAATAAAATCAATCCATACCTTAAAATTCCACTTTTGGATGCATATATCGTCTGGAATGTCAATGGAACAGCAGATGTGGAGTCATTCAAGGCAACAAGACATTTGGATTTATTCAATTTTTGGTAAAAGCCAATTAGCAGCTAATTACTGGTGAGCCAAAGGTAATAACTGACCTTGACACGTCAGGTGAATGAAAAAGCTAATATTGTTTTACTGTATGTTGGTTATCTCTCTTTCTGTCTCTGTATATATATTCATATAGAGCTTGCATTACAATTTTAAACTGAAGAAATCCATGCAGTCCTTTCTGGCATGTACTTAATTAGAAATTGTTAATTTAACTCTGTTGCTTCATTAAATAATTATGTCATGTAAATATGATTAAGCAGATTCCCAGTAGTTTGCATTAAGTTGAACCATCATTTCTGTGTCTCTCTGGTTTTATTTGTGCATTCAAATCATAATGCTCTCTGCAGAGTAATTTCTCAGGTCACAAGATATTCATATCTGGCTGGAAATCAAGTCTTTCAATGTCAGATTTATTTAACAGCCAATGAACTACAGATTACACCTCAGACAAACCAGAAATACTGGTTCCCAGAGCACCAATTAGTGTAAAACTATTTAACAGGTATTTTCATTGGAGGTTTAGTTATTATTAATAGTCTGATAATAATATTGAGTTTCTACTGTTCATCCAGCAGATGCTGCTCTCCATCCTTCCTCTTTGTTTCCACCGAGACAGTTAAACCATTGCTCTTGATGTAGATGTTATTTATTGATTTTGCTGTTCTCTTTTCAATCTTCTGACTAAATCCGTATCCCCACCCCATAACTGTACAACCCACAGGTTTCTGGAACAGTGATGTGTTTTGGTC